CACATAACAACAACAACAACAACAGTACACACCCGGACCACTCCCAGGGCTGTCTTCTGGTCCTGTCAGTCAGAACTGATTTGATGGAAATGGACTTGTGTTTAAGAAAGTCAGCCAAAACTTGTTCAAAATCTAAAACAAAAACAATAAAAAAATTAAAATAAATCTACTGTTAGTGGCCTAGTGGATAAAGAATTGCATGCTCCAATCCAGAAGGAGATGCTTTTAATCTGTTAGCTGCTCTGAGGGAGAAAGATGGGCAATCTCCTTCTCTGTGATTTTCAGCCTCTGAAAGCCCACTGGTGGGTCAGCTAAGGATTCCTGCTCTACAGCAGTCAATCAATCAGTCAGTCAGTCAGTCAGTCAGTACCAGCAGTGTGTTTCTGAGCCTGCAAATCTTTACAGAGTGAGAATGCTCATCTTTCTTCTGTGGAAGGCCGTGTGCGGTCGCCATTACAAGATGGCGCTGATTTCCTGCTTCCTTTTGTTTGCCTTAATCACAAATAAGACCTTATTTGGTCACCGTGTCTTTATTGGTCAATGGCTTGATCTCACGTGGGGTTAATGGTCCAATGGAGGCATGATACGTGAGACTGATAGGCGGAGTACCAAGAGAGGGATATAAGCCGTGCCCTGGGAGTGTTCGGGGGAGCTTCATGTTTTTCTCCCTAACTGTAACAAATTCCTGAGTAAACCGCCATGAGAAGGAATCGTTTGTGGTGTTGTGTCCTTATTCCTGCTGGACAGGCAAGGCGCACAACATTCTTCTACACAGCAGCTGGTGGCAATGGATTCAAACTGCCAACTAACTTTCAGTTGATGCTGTTGCTATGTGTCATCAAGTCAGAACCAACTCATAGCTGACACTAGTGGAGTTTCACAGGCAGTAAATCATAAGGGAGGAGACTGTTCATCTTTCTTTCCTGGAGAAGAAGGAGGATTTGAACCATCTGCCTTTGGTTTGGCAGTACAACTCCTTACCACTAAATGAAAAGAACTAGCCTACTAGCAATCCTTGAAGCTTGCCCAAAGAGAACCAAAGCCACTCAAGCTGTAGTTGGGAAGGTTAAAACAATCCAACGACACGAAGAGTCCAAATGCCCTCAATTTGGAGTGGCCCTTACCTTAAGAGCTAAAAGATACAAATAAATTTGAACCCAAGGACAGACAGGATACTTGAGCATCTAGCTGGGTCTCAGCTACTTAAAGCCAACTAAAATTGACTGTACCACCTCACCCTGGTTTGTGTTTTATAGGGTGCAGCCCACGGACGTTTTCCATGGGTGTAATCTTCATGGGAATAGCTGGTTTAGGGTTGCCAGATAAAATTCAGGTGTTTGATGGGGTTTGAACCATCAACCTTTTGGTAAGTAGAATAACTTCTTTGTTCTACTAAGCTCACTTGCTCTAGTTTTAGAGTCTCTCAACAACAACAAACAACAACAGCAACACAAAACCAGCTTGGTTATAATCACAAATGAACAAAACTTTTTAAGCTAGATGTGACTCCTTTAAAAGTGGCCTTAACCCAGATATCTCAGGAAGTTGACAGCACACCTCTTTGGTCTGGCCCCAGCTCACTTGGAAAGTGCAGACTATTTTGAATTTGCTTCAACCAGAGGAGACTGGCTTGACCCAGTTTCTTCCTGTACAGATTAGATCTGACCATTCAAAGAGGAAGGTCAGAGCTAACAGTGATGGATCACCTAACAACACCAAGTCCTGCATTAGGGGCTTCCCACATTAGCTCAGTTAAAGCTCTCAGCAATCCAGGAAGGTGTGCTTAATTAACCCTCATTTCCAAATGTAAAGTAACTGCAGCAGCTTTTCTATTAAGTGACAGAGTTAGAATGTAAGTATTATTAGCCAACTCTCTGTTTCATTCTATCTCCTCTCAATGAAAGGTGATCTTCAGCAACAGGTAAACCCAGAGTTCTGGCTCTTATGCATTAAACATGAGGGGTAAAGGGGAACTTTTAAAACACCCAGCAGTTCCCTGGTGGAAAGCGATATTGGAATCTATCACTATCATCATCAACAGTGATGATCAATCCTTGAGGATTAATGAGCAACATCTGGATGGGATTCCTGGCAGGAGGTACTGCTAAGGGCCTATTCTTTGTCCAAACCAAACTTACTTAAAATGCTTTTTCCCTGAGAAAGACTCACGGGAAGCAAACTTGTTATTTTTGAGTGATTTTCCAGAGAGAGGGTTATACAATGTCTAGACGAAGCTTGCTGTCAAGTACAGAGAAGGCTGTGCCAAGCAAAGAAGAGAGGGCTTTTGTTCCTAATTAGAGAAAGCATATTGCCCTGCCTACCCATTCCTGCCCAGGGACCCATAGTCAGCTTTAATTCTGATCCAGAATAGTCTTTGTTTCTTGGGGTCATGATCCTTTGAATGATAACAATGTACAATCTTGCTGTTAAGGTCAGACCAAAGCATAGTTCCAGCAACACTCGTTCTTCTCCTTGAAGCTTAGCCTTTAGAGAAAGTCTGTCCTGTTCTTGAGGTTGCCATGCCCAACTGACCTTTGCTTAGCCTATGGCCTAACCTTTTATTTCCCATAGGATCACTACACGGCTAGACCATGAACTGGAGATGGCTGAACCTGTGTCCTACAGTGAGTTACCAAAGGTCTGTCAACCTAAGCTCTGCTCTTAGACAAATGGGAGCTGGGAAACCAGCAGAAAGCATTAGCAAAGAAGGAAGTCAAGGAACTTGAACCTTGAAGTTACTGAAGGGTGAGAGGTGGAGTGTTTCCTGTTATTCACTGTCCTCATAACACTGCCCATGAGGGACACCACCCTAGGAATACCTCCTGCCTTGCACAATCTCCCAGCTCAGAAATCAGCATTGGCTCACATATAGCTGGTATAGGGTTGCCAGATAAAACACAAGAGGCTCAGGGAAGCTTTCATTTCAGACAACCAATAGCTGTTTAGTATAACTCACTAGTTATCTAAAATGTACATTTATCTAGGCATCTGTATTTTTATTTGATAAGTCTGGCAATAATAAGGAAGTATGATGGCATGTTTATCATCAAATAAATGGTTCAGTTACTGCCATCTTTCTTTGGGTTAGCTGTTTGTCCTAGTGTTCAAATATTTTGTCTTTTTAAGCTCTTCACCTTGCACTTAGCATCTATTTAGAGCATTCTGACATCTTGAGTCATATTCCTTTCATCATTACTTCTTTGTAAATATTTAGTCTTTGACCACCTAGCTATGTAGTAGGTACTTCCTAATTTTCATTTTCCATATATTGATGTCGGGTATTTTCCCAAGCTTCTTGCTCCCTTTACAAGGTTCTATTCAGTGTAACACGTCAGTGTAACTGTGACCAGGCTTGCCTCGCTGGGTGACCCATAATCTTAGGGCAAACATTAAGTGAGACTTGTGGGCTAAAGATGGACTTTCTAGCAGGGAAGTGCATTCTTAGTCCGAATCCTTGACCCAAGACACACCTAGAGGGAGAGGGTGACTCACCTGTAGAGAGCAAAATGCCTGAGTGAAGGGTGGCATTCGGACCAGGTAGGAGGCAACGATGATGGCAGAGGAATAGTGGGTGCAGTAGTGACACTGGACAGTCAAGTCTCCTGTAATGAGAAGACAGTCCTCACCTGTGCTTGTCAGATGTAGGTACATAAGCCATGTGCCTCCTCAGACTCTGGACTAGAAATCAGAACATCTGAAGGCCAAAAGCCTTGCTACTCAGCTCACAAATGTCATTGCATTTTAGTCAATAGTTGTCATGTGTAGAAAGGTCCTTTAAGGCCTGGCAGCTACATCTCCCCAAAGCTCAGAGGTCTGCTTCAAGGACACAGGGTGGACTAGCACCTGTGAAGGCAGTATCTGAGGGCGGTGATCTAGCTTGCTTTATTTTTTTTTTCAGTTTAATTTTTTTATTATGATTCTAACAAGTTGGATATTCATTCATTCACTGTTGCACATTTTCCTCCCTACCTCCCATTTTATTCACATTTAAAAAGAAAATATTAATTCATTGTTGCATAATTTCCTCCTCCCCATGCCCCCCACTACAGTCCACTTTGTTATGCACCTCTTATTCTGGACTATTGTAATACAAATAATGCCTAATAATACAGTTCTTTTAAACAGTTCTTTGCTTCATCTGTTCTACTGTTCATTATTTATTCCTCTTTTTCTTAGTTTCTCCCCAACCCTCATGTCAGTCCTGTGTAACAGTGGTGATATGTAGTATTTGTCCTTTGTGACTAAAATAGTCCACTCAGCATAATGTCCTCCAGGGTCATCCGTGTCATGTAATATTTTATAAGTTCCCTATTTTTCAGTGCTACACAGTATTCCATTATGTGAATATACCATCGTTTTTCTATCAGTTCATTTGTTGGTGAACCATTGAGTTGCTTTCATCCCTTTGCTATTGTGAATAACACAGCAATAAACCTGAGTGTACATATATCTGTTTGAATGGCAGCTCAGTTTTCTTTAGCGTATATTGTTAGGGAGCTCTGATGGCCTAGTGGCAAGAAGCTGTGCTGTAATTCCAAAGGTACAAGGTTCGAGGCCACCAGCTGCTTCATGGGAGAAGGATGGGCAATCTCCTCCCGTGTGATTAACTGTCTCTGAAAACCTGCTGGAGAGTCAGCTATGGGTCTATTCCGACTCTGTGGTACTCAACAACAACAAAAATATCATATTTCTCATAGTGGAATTGCTGGATCAAATGGTATTTCTATTTCCAACTTTTTGAGAAAGCACCATACTGCCTTGCATTGCGGTTGCATCATTTTATGTTCTAGTTTTCTGACATAAGTGTTACATGGAAGATTCCAAATTGCCTACAATTTCACTACTAGCAATTGTTCCTTCAATTTTTTTTTCTTGTGGGTGAGAGGAATAGGTTAAGTCATTGACACTCCAGTATGAATAGGAACAGGGCTTTCTCATTCTCTGGACTTGTGGGGGTGAGGCAGGTTTGGGTCTAAAAGAGATTTGCCTCCATTATGCCCTCATCAAGGAAAACCTTAGGGCAGTGAAGATAGAAGAAGCATGTGAGCAGGACATTCTAGTACCAAATGACAACAGAGTACTACCATCTGGACACGTGCTTCAGGCTATGTGTCCTCCATCATCCCCTCCCAGAAATGACACAGTGACCCTGTGCATTGACTTTATTCATTATTGCCAACTTACCAGGGAGGATGCCAGAGAGAAGAGGGCAACTACTGTCATTAGCAAAACTTGGCTGCACTGCTGACACAGAGCAAGTGGTGTTGGGCTAGCTCTTTAAGTATTTGCTCAGTTGCTTCACTGCACCTAGTCCTACATCTTCTTTGAGATAAATTTTTGAATCAGAGTTCTTAAAGGTGAGTGTGGGGTTGCTTATGTCCTGTGCAAGGCCACTTAGTCCCAATATGTGACCCTTCAGTGCACACCCCATGATGGACAGGTGAGAAGAGTACCGAAAGGAGCCTGCCAGCACACAGCCTTAAGCTCAGATTGTCCTTCAGAACCTTTATGCAGAGGCCCCAGATGCTCTTGTGCCTGGGAGGTGGTGGCCTGAACAGGGTCACAGAAGAAAAAGCATTAACCCCAGGATGATGGTTCACCCCTTCCATTTCTTCCCTCTTTCCTAGCTGGGTTGACCTCAAGCACCATGCAAAGATGGGTGAGGCCAGTAGCTTTCAGTCTTCCAGGGACTAGAATGTGATAGGTGTCATAGAGCATCCTCCCCACAGAACCGTTCCCCAAAGGGCTCCTGGAGCTTCCCTTTGCATGGTGCACCACCTCTAGTCCTCAAGGGGACTGGCCACACAGTTCAGAGCTCTCACTGGTGTGAAGTTGAAATGAACTCAGCTGATCCTCCATAGGTTTCCAGAGGTTGAAAATCTCATGGAAGATCACCCATCTTCCACTCATAAGTGGTTAGTGGATTTGAACCACCTTGGGTTCGAACTATCCTTTGGTTGACAGTGCAAGCTCTCATATTTTAGAGATGTTTATTTCAGTATGTATTAGGAAAAATATTAACATAAGTTGTGTGACACACACTTCTCTTACAAATAGATATATAAAGTTCAAGACATGAGTAGGTGAAACACTAAGGCAATAATAATGCTCTTGGCATATGGATTTGACAAAAATTATAAAACAAAGCAACAATGAAAATAAATGGCAGCTCTGATTGGCATGCATTAGGAAGTTTGAGAAATAAATTAGCACAGTTTTAACCTTGTAGGTATATTGATACATGAAGGCTGGGTTTATTACGATATATTCCTGTTGGGGTCACCCCTCTTACAGTGTCATGTGGTGTGATTCCCACTCCAGCATGCACCTCTCATGATATGTTTGCTAAGGAACTGCTACAAGTTTCTACCATCTAGACTTTCCAACTTTCTTGATAAACACTTCAGGAATTTAAACAAAAAAATTCAAGCTATGATATATTACCTTCAGTCTTCTCAACTTCTTTAAACCTCTGGATGAATTTCATCTTTCTTTCCTTGGTCTGAGCTCCCATGGGCTTTGAAAGATCCCTGAATGTCTTGGGGTTCATCAAGTTCAACGTCTAGAAGGCAGACATGCAGAAGAGTTAGCCACGGCGACCCATCTCCCTAACCTTGGTGAGGCCCAGGATGACTTGGTAGCCATGCTGTTTAGTTTTATGGTCCTCTTTATTGGTTTATTGTCATTTAGTCTGACCCCCATTGGTGATTAGCAGGCATTCAGGAGTTTTATGACTGTGAAGTCAGTGATCCAAAAAGACTTAGTAGGGGAGAGATTGAGATTGAGACTCAGAGGAAGGAAACAAAGAGTTCACACTGAACCTGCACCAAATTGACTCAACTCAAATCTTCTTTAGGTACCAGAAAGAGACTTTACAGAGTCCTTGTTGTCTATAAGCCATTTGTCTTTTGTCCACACATAATTTACTTTGTCCTGAGTGTTCACTTAGAATCACTCGATTTAGTAGGAAGTTAGAAGTTGTTTTCTTTTTGGAGAGAAAACAAAATGATTCTCCTCATTTCTGAGGCTTATTCATTGCCAGGAAAAGAAAGCATAGAATACTATCTCTTTGCTCTATCCTTGGAACAGTGGAGAAATGAAGCCATTTCAGGGACCAGCAGTGACATTACCTCTGTAAAGGCAGAGATTCTTGTTGGTTAGTAGAGGAGTTAGATGGCTGCATCGTTTCATTCTTTATAGAAGGAAGTTTCTTATGACTCCCTTTAAATTCAATCACAGAAAGTCATGGGTTTTGTTTCATTAGGGGAGAACCCAGCCCAGCTTCAGTGGTATATGTCATTATGTCAGGGGACTCCAAGGGCCCAATGAGTCCAGGAGTGAAGCAGACCCCACAAAGAGACAGGGAGGTAATCTTCACACAGTTGTCACACAACTTTTGCAAAATATACTGGAAATTCAGATTTTTACGCAAAATCTTGCAATTCTTAAATGCTGGTAAGTGAGCAACATTTTGAATATAAGATAAATCTAATAAAGTACATTTGTGAACTATCCCAGTGTAAAGTGAACTAAAGGTGAAATTTAAAACTTTGCTTTTTTAAAAGCTTCTGCCTAAGGTGGATCTCTCAAATAAGGAAAAACATGGGCTTGTTGAGAAAAGGCATTGCTCTAAATGTCTGAGGTATAACTCCACAGAAGCTGGAGTTCTCTCTCCCAACTCACGGGGCTTAGCCTCCAAGGCTGTCCCAGTCAGGACTAGCCAAGTTGAACTGAATCAAGGACCCAACCACTTTCCCCTTTACATGCATAGCCCAGGATGTCTCTGGGAGGTCAGGGCCAGGGCCACTTTCCCTCCTTCACTTGTCTGCTAAGGTCCCTGGACAGAGAGAGCAATAAAAGTAAATGATCTAGCACTCTGTGTCTCAACCAAGGTCTTGAGGGAAGTCCAAATACTGCCACTTCAGTTACAGTAACCATTACAGTGAGAGTAGTTTCTCTCACTCTAGTCTCTGTCTGTCTGTCTCTGTCTCTCTCTCTCACACACAGAACAAATTCCATGGCCCATCTCATTTGTGACTACAGTTCACTACCAGAGTTGTTGGTCCTTGAGGTATTTCAATATGTGGGGACCAGTTGTCGGTGTGGGAGAAAGTAACTCAGGAAGCTCCCTGCAGCAGATAATGTTACCAGTTGTACTAGTCACATGAACCATCAAAGTCCTACCCACCTAACCAGCCAAATGTCAAAGACCTCCATGTGGCAAGGTATCTGAGAACCACCAACAGACATGGAACCGAGGTCTACAGTGAACCTCACTATTAACTAAGAGTGTGCATATTAGTATGACAAGAAACATTTACTCACACATTGTTTCACAGAAAGCCCTTACCTCTGAGGTGTAGTCAGCAAGAATCCAGGGGTACACAGGGTACTGCATGTAATCATTATAGGTCCTTCCAGCCAGCGTGTTGAGGTACATGAGATACTCAAAGTTGCTGATTTCCCTTTTCTGCCAGTAGAGATTGAAACAAGGATAAATCAAAATGTGTTTGACCTTCTCTGGAGTCTAAGTCTCAACTCTCAGCAGAAAATGATCCCTCTGTAGATGAGAACAGACGATTTATCAACTTGCTTGCTCTGAGCATCTTGGAAACCAATCAGCATCAACTCAAGAACACACATAATTTCAGGTGTTCCAACAGATATATTTATGGGGTTAAGTCTGGAGGAATAATGGGGTGCAGCTTATCTGTGCAAAGTCAAGGATAAAATATCTTTTGTGTTAATTGTTGGATATGACACTCAACAGTAGACTAAATGCACATAGGTTATTGCTGGCCCATTTGTGGAAGAACAGGCTGAGGGGTATCCTAGAGCTTGCTGACTGATGGATCCAGCTCTCCAAGAGTCCTCCTCCAGGACTTTTAGAGCCGCCAGTTTCCTATTCCTGACGTTAAGACAGTGACCGAGCCTGGGAGCCCTCTGCCTTCCTACTCACAAACAGAGACCATCAAGGAGGGCACTGGGAACATTCCCCAAGGAACGACAGTGGGTGAAGGTACAGTCCTATACAACTTTCATCTCTGATTTTGTCATCTATGTGCTGTGGTCTCTCCTGTCCTTAACTGGTTCATCAAGGAAACATTACCAAAATAGATGAGTAAGAGCCCTTTTCTTATTCCTGAGAATTCTTCTGTGGACTATCAAGCTCATTCAGGTTGAGGAACACATATCTTTCCTGGAATAAGGCAGGAATGCTCAAGCCCCTTATGTGCTGTATATGTCTTACACATATGTGCACACCTTCATGGGTGGAATACACAGTACATGCATGTGTGCATACAGACTTGCATGTGGTTAATACACACACATATTCACACAAGTGAGTCAGGACTTGCAACTTTCACTCAAATATCTCTTTCAATCACTAGGATTCTCTCAGAAAAATATTGGGGACTTTTGGGGGGACTTGCATGTGGTTAATACACACACATATTCACACAAGTGAGTCAGGACTTGCAACTTTCACTCAAATATCTCTTTCAATCACTAGGATTCTCTCAGAAAAATATTGGGGACTTTTGGGGGGGACGTGTCCCTTTTTGGTTGATCCTCACAATTCTTCCATCTTTGGGGCATGAATAACTTCCTGAAATTCATTGCTAGAGCCTTTATCTGACTCAGAGCCCTCAGGAGAAGCAAGCATACCTGCCACCTCTGCAGTATGGTCCTGTCGGAGCCAGGGTGTTTCCTGTGAACAGAGAACAATGGATGTGAGCAGCCATCTCCAAGCCCAAGAGAAGAAGTGGGATGCCCTAAAGCAAATGGAACAGAGAACTCAGAAAGTATGGGCTCTCCATGCTCCTCCCCTTAGTAAATGTGGGTGCAGGCCAGTGCCCAGGCTCCACCCTGCTCATCTGACAGTTACATTCTGCAACTACCATCCTGATGTGTGACACCAGAATACAGGGCTTTATGTGCAGAAGACCCAGGGAAGGAGGCAGGGACAGAACTCCTACTGCCCACCACATCCTGAGATCTTTAGTTCATATATTGTTGCACTGGTTAGCATGGCAAGAAACCTTCACCACAACTACATGCTGTCCCATGAAAATCCCCTACCTCAATGCAGTCAGTAAAAAACCCAGGGGTACAGAAGATGCATAAAACCATTATAGTTATAGTTAATTAACCTTTTAAAATATAAATTAGTAAGTCCATTTGGGGAAATCTCTGGAGGTGGAGATGGTTGGCATATGCTCAATTGCTAATCAAAAGGTTAAATGTTGGAATCCACTAAGAGGTAGCCAAGGAGGAAGATCTGGGGGTGCACTTATTTAAAACAAGCAGCCAGCCAGCACTGGATCCCAAGTGGAGCATAGTTGTAGTGTACCACATATGGGTCACAATGCACCTGAATTGACTTGACAGCAACTGGTGGTCAATCTGATTTGAGAAAATACAAATATTTTTTGAAAGTCATAAATCCTAAATTCAAAGTTGTCAGTAAATTTCTGGTCTCACTCCAGAAGTGCTCACAATTAACAATTGCTAGTGGATTATTCTAGAGACTTCTCACTCAAACACCTGGACATACACTCACAGATGTTATAAAGTCTGACCCGCATGGGCTCACAGTGACCATACAGTTCATCTCTCACTTCAGGCCACAACCAGGCTAAACAAAGCATTTCCAGTTTTGCTCCATATTAGAAACTCCACTCTTAGCACCTAAATTGCTTTAAAATTTGTACCAACTTATTGAACTGATGAAGCATCATTTTTAACCATGCTAGCAGGCAAGGACTTAAAAATTCAACAGAAGTTAGGAAGGTGTGAAATGTTGTTGTTGTTAAGTGTCATCTAGTCGTAGGCGACTCATAGCGACCCTATGAACGAAAATCCTCAACAGTTGTGTGACTCTCATCCTTTCTCCAGATTCATAGGGTTTCCAGAGGCAAGCTATTACAGAGGTGGATGCAACTCCTGATTCCAAGCTTGTTTTAATTGGGGAGCCCTACCAAACACTGTCCAACATGGGTAAACATTAACATATTTGACACATCAGTGTCACAGTGTTCAGCTACACAGCAGCCACAAGTTACCTCTGTATGGCAAGTGGACACACCAGGGCTATACGACCTAGAAGAATGTTTGAACAAAAACAATGAAAAACAGTCCAGAGGGTCGTGGATTAAAAGTCACCCACCTTTAGCTTGGTGGTATCACTTTCCATACACGAGGCCAACTGATCACTCTCTATGTTGATGTGAAATGTAGGGCCCTGAAATCCTTCCTATCTTGCCAAGAGTCATAACTGACTGAAGAGCCCAGTGCCACAGTCTCTGTGGCATCTCTTTGCAACACTTCCAGAACTGTTTCTTTGTCCTTCTGTCTCTGTAGGACCCTCCTTCTGCTAATACCTGGTCTTTGATCAAGGGGTCCCACCAGACCAAATGACTTCACATATGCCCATCCTCTCCCACACTGTCTGTGGCCTTAGTCTTTTTAACAGGTGGCCACTGACACCCCAGCTCGTGTAGATCCCACCTGAAGGATCTAGGGCTGTCCTAGGGTACAGAATGTAGAGTGCATGCAGCATGACAGGCCAACTGTCTCAGCAGGGACAGCTTCTTGCCTTCTCATCACAACCCACTATCACACCACTCATGTCCAAAGAGCCTCGCCCAGGGCCCAGCACTCTGGACTCAAGTCTTTATCTGGAGCTTTTCCTTACACAAAAAGCAACATCTGGGTTAGGAACCACCATTCCCTTGTGTTAGAAGAGAAGTTATCTATTTGGTTCATTTTATTCAGTCTCCCCCATCACACATACACATCACACACACACACACACACACACACACACACACACACACACACTCCACACATACACAAAATCCCACTGCTTTTTTTTTAAAAATTTTCTTTAATGGAGTAAAAAAGGGCCAGATTTATTGTTTATATGGCAAAGGCTCAGTGAAAATTTTATTCTACTGCACCATATGGGTTGGTAAGATCCTTTTCCAGTCCCAGAGGTAACCCTGATCTAATCAAAGAGCACAGACCTCCGCTAGAGACAGACAGGAACCATGCCATGGTATGGACAAATGCCAAGTCTTCTAGAGCTAGGAGGGTGAGGGACAGGCAAACCAAAACTTTAAATTTTGTTATTTCATTTCAGAAGTTTGACAGGGGAGAGGGCAAGGGAATAACATGTGCCTATAGGAGGTCAGGGAAAGCGAGAGACTACCCTTCAGTTCAGAAAGAGTTCTAGAATTTTCTCTGTGGCCTTTTGTGATGCTGCTTTCAGGCAGAATGGTGTGCAGAACAAAAGACCTTTCTCCATACCACCCCTTATTTCATCCATGATGAGTTCCAAGGAAGGCCCATGATTTGTAATCCCTTCCAGAAAAGCCTCCATTCCCAGCACTGCTAAGACACCAGGCCAAAAGTGAGTTCTGTTTTTAAAAAAATATGTGTGTCTATATATAGATACATTTTTTTCAAAACCTATCAATCTGAAGGCAATTATAGAACTCCTAAAATCATCTAAGATAATTTTTATGTATCTTAGAGTTAGTTAGAAGAATTTACATAAGAGTTGATAAACTCCATTGTTCCATCATTATTATTTTGTGATGAAACAAGGTGTCACAGGTGGCTCTTGAATTTACAAAGTCCTCCTGAGGACTGGGGAGGCAGTGTGAGGCAGAACACTGGCTTTAGCATTAGCAAAGCTAAGTTCTAATCCTACATTCACTCCACTTCTTTCCTGGGGACACTGGACAAAATGTTAACTCTGACAGTTCTATAGCACATGTGCAAGAGACGAGCATGGATACTGGCCTGGTTCTCCCAAGATAGGTCCAACCAACACTTGTTTAAAAGAAGAGTCTACTACTTTCTATTCTAGGCAGCAAGAGTGGAGTGACAAGAGTGAAGTTTGCTTCCAGGTCAAGACCTTCCTCTGTATTTTAGAAAAGTTGTGCAGCCTCTCAATCAGATCATTTGCTCTGCCAACTCCCATTCCACAAGTGGGAGGAACAGGGTTTGCCTGGATGTCTCAATGGGATACAGGCAAAATTCAAACAAAGTGAGAACTGGGGAGGCTGCTTTCCTGGACCAAAGGTAAGGTGGACACAGAGAAGACATTACATCTACGCCCCTACCTAGCCTCTGAAAAGCAGCAGGAGAGTCAGCTGAGCCATTTCCAACTTGATGGCACATAACATTCCAGGGCAGGTGTCTAACCTATCCAAACCATGGATTTATGGACCCATAGGGAGCATAAGTTGAAGCTCATCCTTGTTTTGAGCTGCAATTTTTATCCATGTTGCTTCTTTCTGAGTCAAATTTATATATTTCATCCACTAGAAACCCTTTTTAACAGCCTGGTCCAGTGATGTTTTGGCCTTGGGGTCATCACTGTTCCAAACTACATAAAATCAGACCCCTGGGTTAACCTATAGTAAGGTCTTTGATAACGTTCCCTGGAGTCTAATATCTTACTTTATATCTTACTAAGATATCTAATATCTTACTCATATAATCTTATCTAATATCTTACTCAACCCTGAAACCAATTTCCCAGAGTGGATGGCAGTTGAGTGAACCAAAGACAAATAGCAAAGAGTCAGATCGTTCCTGGAAGGGCAGCCAGAGTCCCACTGAAGGTGAGTCTTTAGAAATCTGAGCTAGTGCCCACAGCTCTCCTAGTATGTATAGCCTGAAGCTGCCTTCTCTCATCCCAAGAAGAGGCCTGAGGGTTTCTGTCCATATTCCTTGACTCTGAGAGTAGAAACCTGGATTCATCCTTCAGATATTGAGAAAATAACATGGCCAACACCCAAGAAAAGCCTCCAAGGAAATGTGGGATTCTGAGCAGGTACATTTCAGAATACTGATGGATCTCCAAATTCTCCTGTGTGACGACTTTGCAGAACAGTGGAGGGCATTGTGAAAGGGTTAATAAGTGACTGAGGTATGTGATTTTTCTCAGTAAGAAGTATCAGGAAAGTACAGTCCACAATGAAAGTAGAATTACTTCTTCTTGGGAAACTGAGAAACCGGTGTCTGTTGACAAGCGTGGTCTAGTTCTTCATTCACCAGAGTTTATTGCCTGACCGGTCTGAGTGAGGTTCCCTGGGGTACTCTTCCAGGACAGGACATCCGTGCAGCTCTGCTCTGCCATGGGATGAATGGCAAGAGTAGAATCTCCAGTGAGAGATGTTAAGAGGCCAGTACTGGAAGCCAATACTGTCCCTACTTCTCCTCAGAGAAACAAATTTGAGTTAAATACAACCCCAATTGTCAGTTGTAGCTTATAGGTGAATACCCATGGAGAGACAGGCAAATTCTCTCAAACCATGGATTTATTTCTGCATTAACAAGGTACTAATATTTTCTATCTCAATTTCCTGTTTCCTTTCATTGCTCTAACATGCACAAATATGTAGTTCCAGACCTATTCATGAATATCTCATAAGTAACATCTTACAAATTGCAACAGGTTTTCACATATTGCCTAATATTGAAGCTAAACTCATGAAGTGGGAGCTCTGGTGTCCTGTATCCAGTTGAGACGCTAGCCTACAAAGAGCTCACACAATAGCTCACATATTTGGGGCTGAAGGGAATTAGAGGTTTCTGGTGAAGACATAGGGTGTGCTGAGGAAATATGTATCTGCTGGCTCCTAACAAGGCCTTTAGTTCCTCGATGGTGCAAAAAGTTAACACCTCAGCTGCTAA